CTCTGATGCTGATGAGATGAAGGTCACAACTGGGTATATGTTTACTCTTGGAGGTGGCATTGTTTCCTGGAAGTCTTGCAAGCAAACGATCTTAACAAGATCGACAATGGAAGGAGAATTAACAGCATTAGACACATCTGGTGTTGAAGTAGGATGGCTTCGAGATCTTTTGATGGACTTGCCATTGGTTGATAAACCGGTTCCGGCTATCCTTATGAACTATGACAATCAGACTGTCATCACCAGGAAGAAGAGTTCAAAGGACAACATGAAGTCCAACAAACACATAAGAATTAAAAGCTGTCAGAAAATTAAGAAACTTCGGAGTGATAGAGTTGGAGTATGTCCATACGGCTAAGAATCTGGCAGATCCCTTTACAAAAAGGCTATCACGTGTTGTGTGATAGATAGTGCATCGAGGGAGATGGGTATGAGACCCACATGAGTTGCCATGGTGGTAACCCAACCTATGTGATCGGAGATCCCATGAAGTAGGACCTGGGAAAACAAGCCAGTGGTGAACTGAGAAGAGTAACTACACTAACCCACTCCGTTGGAGATGCAATACTTTCGATATTGTATGGTAGGATGACTAATGTCTTAATGTGTTCCAAAGCTTATGTAAGTAAGATGCTATCCTACAGAGCGATCTTTGGAGGAACACACCTATGTGAGCCCAACTGCTGGTCATAGTCTATGAGATTGGGGTGATCTCTAGTAAGCTCGTGAATAGGCCAGGAGTGTGATGCTCCACCCGGGGGGTCAGCCTTCGGTAGCCTAGTACTAGTAAGACATGTGGTGAAGTTTCTTTACGCCAAACTGACAATTCAAGGCTTAGTCCATTGTTCAGTTGTGAAGGAGTGTAGCTACTTGCTCTAGGTGAAGTTCAACCTTAACAGGTCTTCACTGAAACACTGGTATATCGAAACAGTAATTGGAACAGAGGACACAATGGGCCCTCGAGATCTGGTGGGGGACTGCTGAAATTTGGGATAGGCTTTAGGCCCATATAGTAATTTCTGAAAATCTCTAAGGGCCCATGTGGGTTTATTTGGCACTAGGTGTAGTGGGAAGTTTAGTCCCACCCCGAAAGTGGAAGAGGAGTTGGACCTCCTTATAAGAGTTTTTCTTCTACATGCTATTGGAGCTTGAGAAGAGAAGAGGCCCTCGCGCACTCCTCCTCCGTCGCCCACCTCACCACGCCACGCCTCGTCACGACGCAGCGCGCCGCGCCGCGGGTTGCGGGAATGAGCCGAGCCGAGTTCACACCTATGCGCTTATTTTTGTTAGTTTCTGACAGCTGGGCCACGATCTGAGACGTCAGATCGTGGGTTGTCACGGGCTCGGACGTGGGTCGAGCCCACGTCTCTTCACGCGGTTGCGCCTATATAAGTGTGTGGTGTCTCCTAACCCTAGCCGCCACGAACAGATCACATCTGCTCCCACGCGAACCTCGATGACTCCATCCCGTCTGCCGCATACACGATCGACGGGAGAGCAGGTCTCCGAAACCCCGTCTCTCCGGTTCCTGTACGGGAGAGAGGCGAATAGGTTTTTGGGAAGCAACTACGCGACTGCTCGCCTCCCATCCACTACTTCCTCTACGACCGCGTCGTCTTCCTCATCACCATGTCCACCGACATCGAACGTGCCGCCGCCGAGAAGATCGAGGCCGACAAGAAGGCCGTCAAGGATGCCGTTGTTGCTGTCAACGACGCCGCGGCTTCTGCCTGGCCCGCTGGAGGGTATAACACGTTTATCACGCTCCTGTTTTTTTCGTATTAGCGGTGCTAGAAATATGTATAGATTTGTCTACTGTTTGCTTAGTACGTGCATGTTTAGATCAGAGTCAGTATGTCGTCAATTCAATCAATGCCATGCTGGTGATTTATCTATAGATTAAATTTGTCAAAAAATTGCCTACTTACTCAACATATACTTCGTAAGCAGCCAGAAACTACCAAAACACTTGAATATTTCTTTTCTTTCTGGCACCTCGCAAGTAAAATGA